AAAGTCCTGCTCAGAGGCCTCCGTGGAAGACGGCATGCCAAGGGGACTCAGTGTTCACAGCAAGTCCCCCTGCCCTTAGGAAGATGAAGGACTGAAGACCCATCATCATTTAAAAAATGAATTCTGGTTTCCTGCTACCTTGGGGCATATGTAGCCCAGGACACTATAGCCCAGTGCTGCAAGTCTGTGATTTGCTGATGTCCCACTATTACCTTAATAATGTTTTCATGCCAACTTTATTGAGAAATAAATTAATACACAATCAAATGCATTTATTCAAGGTATACAACTGGATGAATTTTGTCCATTGTATACATACTTGAAACCATTCCTGCAATCAAGATACAAAACATCTCTATCGTCCCAAAAGATGCCTCGTTCCCTTCACAGCCTCTCCCTCCTTCAGCCCCAGCCCCTCACAACCACTGATAGGATTTGTTACTATAAATTAGTTTGCATTTCATATAAATGAAATAATGCAGTATGTATTATTTTGCCAGGGGCTTTTTTCACTCAGCATTGTTTTTTGGTTGTTGTTGGTAAGTTATATATATAACATAAAATTTACCATTTTGACCATTTTTAGGTGGCATTAAGTACATTCACATTGTTGCGCAATCACCACCACCATCCACCTCTGGAACTTTTCTCATCGTCCAAAACTGGAACTTTATACCCATTAAACACTAACTTCCCATTTCCCCTCCTTCCAGCCCTTGGCAACCACCATTCTATTTTCTGTCTTTATGAACTTGATTACTCTAGATACTTCATGAACATAGAACCATGTAATATTCTTTTGCGTCTGGCTTATTTCATTTAATATGATGTCTTCAGGGTTCGTCCATATTGTAGCATGTGTCAATTTCCTTTTTAAGGCTGCATAATAGTCTATTGTATGTATCTAACATCCATTTATCTGTCATGGACACTGGAGTTGCTTACACATTTTGACTACTGCGAATAATTCTATGAACAGGTGTGTACAAATATCTCTTCTAGTTCTTGCTTTCAGTTCTTTTGCGTAGGTATGCAGTAATTCTGTGTTTAATTTTTGGAGGAACCTCCATACTGTTTTCCACGATGGCTGCACCATTTTTTACATTACCTTTTAAGCAGAGTTTTTTTATTAGACCTGTTTTTTCTTATCCCTTAACTTTCCAGAACAAATATCCTTTGACTTTTCATGGCCCTGTGTGATGATAGTCTTTTCCTTCAGTATCCTGGCCTCTGGCCTTCTTTCAGACGGATGTAATTGCTCAGAGACTTGTCCCGCTCTATTAACGGCAAGTAAAATCCCAGTGCTCACTTTCACTTCACTGCAGCCGGTTCCCTCTGTGTCCCACCTGTTTCTCATTAGCTGCAGTTATTGTACAACTCGCTGATATCCTATTAACAATGTCATGATACAACCACCTACATCCTATTAACTCCACCTACTGTGCCACCTACGTTGGTCCTCTTAATTGAATCTATTACTCTATACATCCTACTTCTCTGCATTTAGCTCTGTCAAATAATGTCCTATTAACTCTATGATCCAATCTTCTGCAACTGTTGTCTGACTTGCCAGCAACCTGTTCATAGTGTCTGTGTTGCTGCCTACCTGTGATCTGTTGAAAACTGATCCCTGGTTTAGGTCTTGTTAGGTCCAGGTATGAAAAGCCCAGCAGGAAGTCACACGTTATCGTTGACTCTGGGCACTGAACCTTGAACGTGCAGAGTATGTAGGGGGCTTCGCCCCAAAAGTGCCCTCTTAAGAAGAAGGATCTTTTCCTTTGACCACTAGGCTGTATGAGCCACGTCGATGGAGAGAGAGAGAGACTGTGTGTGTGTGTTGGGGGTGGCCAGTGGGGAGGCGTGAAAGGAGTGGGGATTGGGAAGCTGGGTGAGAAGGAGGAGACCAAGTTGGGGGAGGCCAGGGGAAGACAGGACTCCCGGGGGCGGTCAGAGTTCATTTGTCAGGACAGAACCCTTTTTGACACCATCTTTTTTTGTTGTTAATGACTGGCAAGGCTGCATGAGTGTGCACCATAGCAGCCCCCAGGATGTTGCCAGAATGACAGCCCATCCCATTTGTTTTCCACTTTTACGAGTCTGTCCTCATCTGAGCCGTGATAAAGAGGAGGCTCTGCTCCAAGTCCACCCTCACCCCCTGGGGCCACATTCATGCTTGCTTAGTAGCTGTCACTGTCAAAGACCTTGTGCCTACAGCCCACCCACAAGAGGCTGATATCAGCATCGAGGGCAGTGCCAGGCATATAGCAAGTGCTCACGAAGTGTTGGTTGAGTAGTGTTGAAAGGTGACTTGTGGAATCTGTTCCTTGTCATCAAGAATCTTACTCCTGAGGTTGGAAAAGGCTAAGTGGTCCTTAGCGGCCACTTGGTACACTCTGGGACTACCATCTGTAGGAACACGTGTGCATTAAAAAGTCCAGTGAGCTGTGTATATGTAATAGAGTTCTCAGGTGACCCTATATTAATCCTTAGCATTTCTGAAACACTTTTTAAAAACACTACCAAATCTGTGACCTTCTTTTATTCACATGCTTGTTTAGAAAATTATTCCGGGCTCCTATTGTAACGGGGAAACTGAGGCCCTGGTAGATTCTCATAGGACAGTCAGGATTACAAGTCTCCTTACTGCTATCTAGCTGCCTCTCTTGATGGTGTACACAGTAAAAGGAAGGAAAATTTTCAGGGCCTAGCTGCAGCCCACACTAAACGTGTATGTATGCCTTACCTCTGGGCAGTATTGGGGACATTTCTCCTTATAGGTGTGTTGCTGGGCAGAAGCTTTCAGAGGATGTCCTTTGATAGCCGTGGTGCCAAGCACAGCTGTGCGATGCCCCAGGTCCAGCTTTGTGTAGATGAAACATCCCCATTCGCCCCCCTCTGCAGGCAGCCTCTGGGCCCTGTGTTTATCAAACACCACTGATACCTCGCCCCAAACACAGCTGAAGTCCAGGAGGCTTCCTGTGCCTGAAGCCCCCTCGCCTCACCCTGCTCCCTGAGCCCACTGAGGAGCAAGTGTTGAGCAGTCCCTGGCATCTGTGTCTAAGCCATGGCGGTGAGAGGTCTGAGGACCTCCAGGCAGGATGGGTCCATCTTGAAGCTCGGGGAAATACCTGGCTGTAGTGGGCTGAATAGTATTTCCTCCAAAATCCACGTGTACCTGGAACCGCAGAATGTGACTTAAGTTGGAAGTCTTTGCAGGGTCTTTGCAGATGTAAGGATGTTAAGGATCTTGAGAGGAAACCATCCTGGATTTAGGATGAGCTCTAAATTCAATAGCTGGTGTCCTTAAGAAGAAGAAGAGAGGACACAGAGAAACACAAGGAAGAAGGCAACGTGAAAATGGAGGCAGCCATTGGAGCGATGCTGCCACAAGCCAAAGGATGGCAGGAGCTGGAAGAGGCAAGGAAGGATTTGTACCTAGAGCCTTCAGAGGAAGGGTGACCCTGCTGACACCTTGATTTTGGACTTCTGGCCTCCAGAACTGTGAGAGAACACATTTCTGTTGTTTTAAACCACTAAGTTTGGTAATTTGTTATGGCAGCCACAGGAAACAAACATACGGGCCAACTAGCAGACAGGAGATGGGGTGTAGGGCTGGTCCTGTGGCTAGACTGCCAGGGTTCTCTGCTGCACCCGCCTCTCTAGACTGCAGGGCCAGAGAGAGTGCTTGTGGCTAGCCAGTCTAAGCAAGGAAGACCGGGGTTAATCTTGGTGGAGAAAGATCTCCGGGCCCTGTCTCCACCATTGTTATTACCTTTCTTTAGTGCCTGCTGTATGCAAGTCATGACATCATTTCACTCCTTGTAAGAACGCTATTAAGTAAGTTGCTCTATCCTGAGTTTTACATTAAACTTTGTTAATGTGCTCAAGATTACACAGCTGGCAAGTAGCAGAGCTGGGATTTGAACTCGAGCCTCATCCCACTTAAAGCTTGCACACTTAACCACTATGCTATGGTAATTTATTATACCTATGTCATATTAATAATAATGGCAGCCAGTGGTCCACACAGCAAGAAGAGAGCCTGCCAGAGTTATGATAACCCTCAGGGCCTTCCGGCAGCCTCCTTCCTACTCCTACTCTTGCCCCATCCCGGTGCAGCAGCCATATCACATGATCCCTGTTCCTTGGATGGCCTGTGATGTTCACACTTCAGGTGGCCTCCCTGGTAGCTTGTTTCTGTCTCTTTCCATCGGACACACTCTTGCTTAGCCCACACGGCTCAGTTTCAATGTGCTCTGTACGCTCCGTTACCCAGCATTCACTACGTATATCATAAATCCAACTGGGGTGTGTTTGTGTTTTCCTAGCTGGAGTGGGAGCACCTCTGACACAGGACTGGGTCTTGCTATTTTGATATCCGGCATCTTCCCCAGCCTTTCTGGTTCTCCAAAGCCCCCAATAAATGTTTAAGTGAAACACGTCAAAGATGAGAAGATCGTTAAGTAACAAATGCTCAGTAGAAAGGGCTGTTAATTTAAAAAAAGGAGGAGAAAGAAAAGAACATCAGATATTCTAAGACAAGTATTTGTAGAAGGAATTGCTAAAAGCTTTGCGTTTTGAAAGCAAATATTGAATTTAGTCTCCCCCTTCTGTGTGCTTACAAATGGCACTCAATGCAATATAATGCTCCATCTACATTTCGAGATTTATTCTAGGACTCATGGACTTTTTTTTTTTTGGTTATTAACTGCTTTAGTCCTCTGCACACGTATTCTTTAAAGTGTGCCCTACCTTTAAGCATGGCTTGCATTTGTGATAGTGCACCCCTAATTGTCCGCTGACCCGGATGGGAATGTAGGACGCGACTTGCTGGCGTTCCAATTATGGCAGACTTTCCAGGAAGCATATGTCTTACTGTGTAAACCAAGGCCCGTTTCATTTCTCAGGTTGCCTTCTCCAAAAGGGAGCAGTTTGCTCCTGTTGGAGGTCCTGTCCCTGACATTTCTAATGGCTATTCCATCTCTATCCTCCTTCTACAGGCTGGCCGTGGGTGACCCTCTCTGTCCTGGGATTCCTGTACTGCTACTCCCACGTGGGCATTGCCTGGGCCCAGACTTACGCCATGGACTAATGCTGTCGGGCTCAGGACAGCCCTCACTGCTGGCCTCCAAGGCAAATGGTGCTTCACCTTGAGGTGAAGGTGAGGTGAAGCACCTTCTACTCCGAGATAATCTCCGGGAGATCAAGATCCGCTCATCTTCTGTTGAAGTTACCTCACTCCGGGGCTGCAAGCTTGAGCTCTCATAGAAAATTTACAAGCAGATGATCTTCTAACTTTGGAGCCTGACAGATCTTCTACCCCAACCCATCATTTTCCTGTTGAGCAAGCTGGGGTCCAAGGCGGTAGACTGCCTTGCCCAGCTAAACATGGTGGCATTTTGGTCTAGAACCTAGGCCCATGGGAACTTTGAGTTCTTTCTCATTTACCAGGAATGAAATATAATGGACATTCCTTGATCGAGGCACAGAAATCCTGATTAGTGATAGGCCTGTCCTCTACTGGGCAGAATTTCTGAAACATTTTGGTGACATTGATTTAAGAGACCCCCTTCTTCACGTCCTGCAGTGTGGTCTCTACAACCAACACTAGGCTCTGAGCTTCATATTTCAGTTCCTCTGTGGGAAGGACGCAAAGCCTCTGCTCTGTTTCTCATTACCTAATCAAAGAAGCCAGAAGCAGTCCTGTGGCATTCCAAGGAGTCTGTACCCAGGGAGTCCTGTGATTTGAACTTCATCAGGGTGATCTACATGTGGCTGCTTGTTCCTGAGATCTGCAGTGAACGTGGTATTTCCTCTACCTGACAGTTGTTTCACAATAAAGAATCAGAATTGAAAAGCCACAAAATAGGGGATCCACAGAAAGGTGCTATATCTATCAGGCAAGTCCCAAAGATAAGGATGGATTCCTGGGGCCTTGTCTACCCTCTCCACGTAAGTCCCAAAAGTCGTCATCCTATTCAGTGGTTTATGCTCAGTGGTCTATATTGTTTTGTTTGGATTCAAATGCAGCCTTTTCTGTACATAGATAATTTCCATTTTTGTAGAGTTCTTTTGAATATTTTTGAGGAAATGTTTAAAATCGGAATACATTTATATGACTTGATGATTCACTCCAGGAAGACACCAGATAGCCCACCTATGGCCCCAAGTGGTAGATAATTCAGAATACTTCTGTTTGACTTTGGATTTTGCAGTGGGGGGTGAAGAAGCTTTAAAATTAGTGTATCCAATTATAGTCCATCCATAGTGCATCCAATTATGGGAGAATTTACAACATCTCAAGCACATGAATTGTTGAGTGAAAAGTTCACTTGGACCTAGTGCTGTCTCATATTTATAACATGGGATGGCCCTTGTGCTTTGGCTGTGGTTATCAGCTCCATGAGATTTAAACTCCTGGAGTGCAGGACTAGTCATTTTGTTGAGTTTCTTTTCTTTCCTAGCTGCTCTGCTTGGAAGAGAGATGGAGGGGGCCAGATGTTGATGACCTGGGGCAGGCACATTACACATTAGCTGAAAAGTTCAGGAGGAGGGTGGGGGTAGACCTGGGCAGCAGCAGCCTCAGCAGTTGGTTTGGTAAAGGAGGGAGACACGTGGTACAGGCGATTCCAGGGTGCTGAGAAGTTTTTTTTTTTTTTTTTTTCCCAGCATATTATGAGGGCACAGATGTTTAGGTTACGTATGTTGCCCATGCCTCCCCTCCCCCACCAAGTCCGAGCTTCAAGCGTGTCCATCCCCTCCGATGGTGCGCATCACACTCTTTGTGTATGCATATACCTGTCCCCTCCTCCCCTCTCCCCGACATCCAATAAATGTTATTCTTATATGTGCACT